TTTCATGTAATTAGTATATAAAGGCTAAAGAAAAGCAATTCAAAGAGAAATAAGTTAAATAATGAAGCCATTAAGACAGAAATAAGAGTCGGAAAAGGGAACGAAAAGATATAGAGCGAACCCGTAATTCAACGAGTAGTATTAGTTTTGAGGTTCACATAAGAGAGAAGAAGTGCCCAGAACGAATGAAATGAAATTATAACTAGCCAAAAACAAAGGAAAGGATAGCCGACGGACAAACGCTTCGCAAAGTGACTGCGGGAATACAAACCCGTCAAGACAAGAGGAAGACACATTCTGAACCGGAAGACAGTAGAGACTAGTTGGATGAAGTAGTGCCGTGCCGCTGACTTGTTGTAAAGCAAAAACCTTTTAATAAGGAGGATAAAAAAACAGGATAGTGTGCAGTATAGTAACAGTACAGAGAAGATAATAGAAAACGAAGAAACATACTGCCCTATTATAGCTAAAACCACGTCTCTACAGCCCCACAAAGCCTACGATTTGAGTAAAACTTGTGTAGAAGTTTATGATTCATGGCTCGAATCGTGAAATTTCCAGCCTCCTGACAGAAGGAATGTGAATGTAGGTGTTACTAAACATTGGTAAACGAAAAATTAACTGTAAGTTTATATCAGAACCAAAGCTTATAAATAACAGCAATGTAATATCTAGCAAACGACTAACATGTAGTTTTTGTTTTTATTTTATTTTTTTATTTAATTTACAATACTTAATCAAAACAGAATAATAATAAATCGTAATAATTCACTTAAAATAATAAATAGTAAATCAAATTATTCTAATCAAAGACGTACAGTTAGACACGTGTTTGTGTAAAATTGAGTTAAATTATATTAATATAAATTAAAGTAGAAAATATTTATTCTGTAATAATTCTATACAATATTTATTTTAACATTTTAACAATAAACGACGATTTATTAAAAACAATTCATCAATACATAAAAATTAACTATTACTAAACACTACTAGGACGTCATCGATTCAAGCCTGAGTAATAGTGCAGTTTCTCGAGTATTCTTGTTTATAACACTTAAGTAGGGGCCTATTTTCTATTTTTAAATGTGCGAAATTTTAAATTAAATCGTGCTAACATTTTGCGCCTGGTGTTTTAAACACCTGCAATACAAACGTAGTTACTAGCAACACAGAACGGCCACGCCGAAAGTTCACAAATAAACAAACTTAAATAATTATTATTACGTATGATATTAAAAACACTAAAAAGGCATAATAGTTTAATTAATAAACACACTACTACATTTATTTAATGAACATTTTAAATAGTAATTACGCTAGAATATACACGAAATGCACCCGATAACGAGCAGCGAACAGACACACACACGCGCGCTCTACAACAACATAAATATCTTTTTATATAAATACAACTAAAACTTTAAAACGTCGAGCTTTAGGGATCGTTAGAAAGTGAAGGCAACAGTACTTTTATTAGGATGTAAAGGAAAATTGGAGTAGGAGAAACATTTCCGGAACATACAAGATGTGCCGATGACGTCAGTATACGCCACTTGAAAATGTACTATTTAGTCACATGCCACATTACCTGAAACTTGTTGCTATGAAATAAAGCAATTTCAGCTCGTTTGATAACTATTCACTTTTGAAAGGTAAGTTTACCTTCGATATTATTTAAATACAATTTATGTATGTGACGTTTAAAACAGTTCCTGTCCGAAGTCTTCCTCTCTACTTCAAATAGAAGCGTTACAATTGCTTGGAAAGACGTCGTACTACCCGAACTATAACGTTCGGTGCCCTACATACAGATTAAAAAACATTCTTCTGTCTTCGGGCACACTAGACGAGAATTCTTTTATTATTTTCTTCTCATTCTTCTTCTCTCGTTCCTATTTTTAAGAGATTATGCGGGTCTAATGACTGTCCAATCAAGTAATTTTTATTTTGGGCCACCATTAACTTCAATTTAGTAGTGTTTTTTACTGTATATAATACTTTCTTGTTATATGTGTGTTTCTATTGTAGAAAATGGATACTAATTTTAATTTTATTTACATATTGAAAATAAGTCACATTAATTAATCATAATCTATTGATATTATAGTAAAAAACGAAGTCACTAAAATGAAAGGAATGTTCTCAACTTTCATTTTATTCTTTGTGTTGATGATGGTATGGAGTGTCCGCGCCGATACGACCAATAGACCATTTTATATTGACCAGTACTGCAGTAAGATATTTCTATTTTTTTACTGTTGTAAACCAATAATAAATCTGTATGGATGTTAGTTTCTGTAATATTTGTTAGTGTATATGTGTACATATACTAATGCAATGGTACAGCATGATTTTGCCTATATTTTTGCAATGAGTGAAATATTCAAGTGCAAGTCTCATGTTATGACGTTTTTTACAGGTGTAAATGATCTTGACTGTTTTGGTAAATGTTTTAATAATCCCGATAGTTCACAGGTGAAATATTTTGATTTTATAAAATAAAAATTTGACAGATATTTTAATGAAAACGTCTTTATTACCCTTAGAATCTGAATATCTTTTACAATTGCCTTCGGGATCAAACCTCTATAACAGGATCAAAAGGAATAAAACAGTTTCTCTGTCAAACTGCCACAGATGAGGTGAGAAAAATTAATCTGTTTTCTCCATTATCTTTATCTAAGATGTCCTCTCTGCTCCATTCCCTCCGTCTCGAATCCTTTAGAAAAGTTATTTAGCTTTAAACTTTACTTATGTAAAACGTTGTGGGATTTTTTTTTAATTTTTTCCATATAAAATTAAGTTATTCGTACAAATAAATTGAAATTATTTTTTGTAATTACATTTTTATAGCAGTTAATAGAATTTGATGAATGTGTACACCACGACAATCCTCAATCAGCTATTTTTTTTCTACAAGTTCAGGTAAGTTTCTATTGCAATTGTCAAGAATAAAAAGTAAAAATGCATTAACAAAAACAAAATTACAAATTTTATTTCTGTTTTTTTTTTCAGTGTTGCATTCAAACTTGTTTCCCACGTCTCGTTGTTTATGATATTTGTCGTTTTGTAAGTTAACATTTTGGATTTTTGTTAACTGCTTTTTCAGCGAAATTTTACGTATTTTAACGAAAAATGTATTAAATTCTTCTTTAAATTTAAATGTAATTCAAATATTTAAAAGAAAATAAATTTGGATTTATGCATTATCTTTTTCTTCTATGCAAAATCACGTACACTGAATCGTTTTACACGCGTCATTACATAAAATTAACTTAAAATTATAATTAATACTTTTCTTTTACGAGAGATCGATTAAAATGTATTTAAAATAATATAAATTTTCTTTTATCTTTCCGACAGTACTTATTTCATATATAAGAAAAGAGAACTGCTTACACTAAATGCATCTGCATGTGTGTGTTTTCTTTACTACCTTTTCAGTAGTTGAAGTACAAACACAGAGTAAGTGTTATATTACGCCAGATCAAATTGTTTCCCTGGTGCAGTAAAGGAAGTGTTTTTATTATATCACTTATTCTATGGGTTTTCCCGTGAACTAGTAAAGGGAAAGTTAAACTAATTATTCATTATTGAAAGATAAGTTTACTCTTAATGTAATTTAAGTACATTTTACATTGGCCCCCTACTGAAGTTTAAAACATTCTGGTCATAAGTTTGAGTCCGAGATCCATTTCTCTACTTTGAATACGGAAGTTAATTGGTTGGAAAGACACCTTATCGGACGAACTGTAATTCTCATTCCTCTATTTACAAGTATATACAGATAGCAATAACATTCTTCTGTCTTTTGTCGTATAAGACAAGACTTCATTTATTCCTTTACTTTTTATCCCTTTTCCCTTTTTGGACCTTTCTAAAGGTATTTTCCGACTGTAACGACTGTTCAGTCCAGTATATTTCATTTGGTCCAACCCTGTCGGCAATCCTTACGAATATTTTAATTATGCCTGACTGCAAATTAAGTTTTCCGGAAAAACCGATCCTTTTACGTGAAACACAAAATCGCTTTCTGCTCTTTTCTGGCTTTTTTTCGGGTACTTTCTTTAAGTAGTTGACTTTTCTCTTAACACGTCTTTAATGCATTCTGCAGAATAACAATACAAAAGTACTAGTATATAAATGAATCATTTGTCACGTCCTAGGTTAGGTAAAATCTATTGATTTATAAAATAAAATTTAAGAGATATTCTAAATGAAAACGTCATTTATTATGCTTAGAATCTGGATATCTTTTACAATTGCTTTTGCAACCAAACCTCTGTAGAAGGATCAGAAGAAATACAACAGTTTCTCTGTGAAACTGCCTCAAATAATGTAAGAAAAATTAATCTGTTTTCTCTATTATCTAATTTATTTTAAAATTATAAATAATGCTTGTGTTTTACGATAAATCGATTAAAATATATTTTAAAAAAAATATAGGTTTTCTTCGTTCTTTTCAACAGTACTTATTTTATTTATAACAGAAGAGATTTGCTTACACAAAATGCATTTGAACCTGAGCGTTTTCCTTACTACCTCATGTGTAATTGAAGTAGAAACACAGATTAAGTGTTATACTACACCAGACCTAATAGTTTCTGTGGTCTGGTAAAGTGGGTGTTCGTATTATATTACTGCATTAATATACTAGTACAGGGGTTCTCATAAGTCTGAGTTCGCATAAGTCAGGGTAGTGTAAGTCAGGGTATTACTGTAAACACAGAAATAAATTACCTCGACATTAAAATAACCTGAAAAACAAAGAAGATATCAATATACATTTTGAAGTATGTACTATTAGACAAACAAGCAACACTTTAAATAAAATAAATACAAAATAAATACAAAATAAGTCATGTCATTGATAAATTCCGATACAAATGACACTTCTGTCATTTGTACGTCTCGTATGTTTGTTAGCCTTTCTTCTACCAATACTTAATTTATTATTATAAATTGTATTAATTTCTACAGAATTTTCATTTTTAATATTTGAAGTTAGTTTATAATCATGAAAATGAAATGCAATTATCCATTGCAAATTATCACAATGTCAAGCTGCAAATTTTAATCTATATTTTTAAATTTATTCAAATTTATAATATATATTCTCTCCGTTTCAAATTAATGGCTTGTCCCTGTACATCATACTTTTCCTGTTAACGACAGAGTCGTGCTAGTCATCTCTCTAACCTCTTTCAAGGGAAAATGTTTGAATTTAAATAACGCGACTCCCGTTCAAAACAGTAAGTACCTATATAATTAAGTGAGACGTCTGTTAATTAATTCCTGGAATTCAGGGTGAATGCACTAGTAAAGTTGAAGAGTTATCTTTCACGAGTAAGAATTATAAAATTTTTTTCCACCTTGTGTTCCCTAGTTATTAGCTACTTATTTGTAACGTGTTGGTTCCAGTTTCCAAGAGAACAGAAAATTTAGCTTTTAATATACATATAAAAGTTATATTATAAACACCAATTAATGAAGCACTACTAGATTTATTTAATGAATTTTTAATAAGAACTTTGTTGCTATACGTTCAGTCAGATACTTCCACTTGATAACAGACACGTAAACACACGCTGGTATTTTTACACAGGCGTCAGTATTATTATAATACTAGCTGAGTCTATGCTGCGTTGTCACAGCTAAAAAACAGCGATATTAATTACAGAAATATACATTAACTAATCTGAGAATTTAGAATAATTACTGTAAAACACACGAATTTTCTCGAGATTTAAATAAGAACTGTGGGATTGAGCAAAGTTGCGGCTGAGAACACCAGGATGTGTTTGGATATTTAGGAGATTGATAACATTCAATTTCCGTAAATATAGGTTAAAAATATGAAAAAAATCCATTCCTTTGTGATATTTTGAGATGGATCGAACTTATTGACGATCTACAAGTTGTCAGCATTTATTATGCAATTTTTTATTATACTCACCACTACCTTCAAAATTAATTTTGTCCCAGCTTTATAATAGTTAATTTAAGAGAAACTTTAATTAATTTACGTTTTAAGATAACTTTTGTACATATTTATCATAAATTTTTACGCTTCTTGTAGGAAAAAACGTGGTGAACATTTCTGTTCAGTGGCAACTTGCAATTTACTCAATAAAATTTATAATTTAATAAATTAATAAACAAATAAACGACATCAATAAATTTATCATTAATTATTTAATTTTGTGAAATTTTTGAGATAAATAAATATTTTTATAATCGAAGATATAAAGTTATGTTTCCTTGTTTTTATAACTTACAGATTTATTTTACATACAAGTACTTTTGATAGACAAATTTTATTGTTTATTACGCCGATAATAGATATTACAACCACGAAAAATAAGACAAATTTAAAAATTAGCATCATTTTTTAAAGCAAAAACGACCCCAAAAAATAAGATATGATTTCAAACAATTTACTCTATATTTTACAATTATTGCTATATTAAAATAATACCCAACTATAAAAATCATATCAATGTTAAATTAAAAGATCACAATTAAACCAAAACATTTAGACTATAACCAGATTGAACTAATAATAAATACAGTTGTAATAAAAAAACAGCGTAAAAACTTTTTATTCCAAAGATAAAAGACTTCTCTAAGTAATATAAAAATATGTATTCGATAATTTTTAATTTACTGGCTGTTATATATAACAGAGGAAAAGTGTAGTGCTCAATCAAAACATGACTCCTCCAAAAATTTTCACATTTTTGGACTCGGGACACCTTGAAATTTCGAAATTTGCACAAAAATCGAAGATTTTTCTATAAAGTGGATGTTAGACTGTGTGTGGGGGACATAATTTTGTTCACCCTGTTTAAAGCCTAATAAATTCTGTGGTCAGAGTGGTCCGAATCGGAGTCAGATGGTTTAGCACAGGAATGTGTTATTAAGTGTCAGAGTAGTTGAACTAAATCATGTCCTTATACACATTCTAACATCGTAGGCGAGAACTGTTCTATTATAAAATGAAAAAAGAAGCTTACTTTGTGGATACAGGCGAGTTTTACTTTTTATTTTTTAAATTATGACAAAACTCTATGACTTCGACTCCATTTCCACAGCCTTGGTCGCTTCACAAAAACTTCATACTTTCGTTATTCTGCTTTCAACTCAACACATCAGAATTATAAAATGTCTTTGTTTTGTGTTTTTAGTATCGAACTGTGGCTTAATTACGTTGCTTCCCACGTACAGAGCTGTGTCCATGGAGCCAGCCGTGGTCTTAGCTGGGCTGTTTCTTTGCCCCTGGTAGTCAGCCAGGACGCAATCTTCTACAGAACAACAGTAAAAAAAATCGAGGTGAACCATTGTAATCAGATGTACCCAGTCAGACTCATATATCAGACAGATATTATGAAGGTCCATCTAGCTATAAAATAGGACTTGATTGACATGTCAGTAAATTGACAGGTATCAGTGTTGAAATGGACAGTAGCTCAGTAGGTGCCACGTACTGTGTCTTTTCTGATGGACTACAAGTGTACTGACAGTCTGTCAGACTGAACGAGGAAGCGACCATGTTCCAGGCGAAAACTGGTGACCCTGCAGGTTGCGTTTCAGTGGATCCTGCTACATCTAGATTTAGAGCCAGGCACAATATGCTCAGATAGCCAGTCGTCTCTTCAGGCTTTGAGTGACGAGTACCATCATGATTCGCTGGTACATGAGATCATGGGTAGAATACTGAGGGCGAGGCATGAATGACACGTCGCCTTGAGGTTGGGGATCCCAGGCAATCAGCAGGCAAAGGCTCGCCATCGCCTTTGCCAGCTGATTGGCATTGCGTGCCAAACAGGTGGCAAAGGCGAGAGCCAGTTGCCCATTTGTACTGAAGATGGTGAAACCCTTGACTACATACATAAAAGGTACTCTACTGAATCAGTCTCCCCCAGGTAGAGAACCGCGGCCTGGACGTGGCAGGGGGCCTACCAGCTAGAGACGACAGGTACTGGGTTTAGAAAGACTCGTCTTGGTCTTGATCATTAGTGGAGCCTTATGACTCGAGCTGAAGTTTCCAGAGGTGTCAAAATATCATAGGCTTTGGGTCTGTGTACCAAGCCTTTTAAAAGCTTGCTGTCCGATTGTCGTTATTGGTGGGGGATGAGCCTGGGGGTTTCGAAAATCTCCCTAAACTGGAACTAACCCCATTAAAGC